GAGGCTGGGAAGAGGAGGGGTTCGTTTCAACGTCTTCATCAAGTTCGCGTTCGCCGTCGAATTAATTTTTACCAATTGCTAGTCAGACCTCCGGAATCATCACGGTTCTATTTCATCCTCTAGTAAATCACGCTCGGCTCGTCCCTGATTCTAATTTTCAGAGACATGATCGACTTCCAGAAATAACAAGATACATCCTCGGAAGGTTAATTAGTTTTAACAATAGTTTAATATTCTTAATGTGCTATTAGTAATTAAAAAATGAATTAACTTTTCAGATCTAATCGGATATAAAAAGCGAGGGATGCCTACAATTTTGGAAAGTAAGACAGATAGTAGCTACGATGGATTTGGAGCGCAACCTAAGAAAGAACTATGATTTGGAGGTAGGGGTTGCACCAAAATACCCATGTCCGATGAAATATCAGTATCCGTATCATTAGAATATGCTACGGTTACGTATGTGCTTGTGTAGTGAAACATCCGGATCCGAATCCGAAATATCCAAATATATAGTGGTTATATTATTGCAACAGTTTTAATTCTTAAATTAATATATTTGAGGTTAATTTTGATGATCAAGATATCTAATCTTAGTTTTCCAAAAACAACAAACATACTGATGACTCTTTGTATCGCATGAACTACATTTTTTTCAATGTCATCTAGTTTTCTTATATCAGTTCTGTATCCACACATATCTGTATGTTTATATATATGCATACATATCCGTGTATGTACCAGATTTTCATAGACGTAGATATAAAGTTTTCTTACTGAGACATATCTGTTAGATCTGAATATCTGAGATCTAATCCATAAAACCATGATTAATTCAAAGAGAATAAACAACAACAATGAGAGCGGAAGCTTATACCTGAATCCATTGTTTCGATTTGCACGAATCTGAATTAGGGTTTGATCTTCTAATCTTGAGGGTCTCTCCTTTAGAATCTCTTTAGATGGGGATTAAGAGAATAGAGAATGTAATCCTAGATTAGGGACCATAACCCCTTATTTATAGTTGTTGTACTTTTATAATTTAGCTCCTCATCAAATTATAATTACAACATGATATCCGCACATTTAGCCCATGACATATTTAAATACCCATTGATCCAATTACCTGATTGATCACTTTATGCGTGTCAACTGAAAGATAGCAACACACACTGATATAACATATGTGCCCACAGATAGATTTAATTAGATTTAAATCCAACAATCTCCCACTTGGGCACCATATGTTTCCTTAAAGTATGTATAACCTTATGAGCTCAAAAAATTGCTATCATAGATATGGGTATTTCCGAACAATCTCGTCCATTGACAATATCAATATAGGATCAAAGCGGTCTTCGTCACATTTATCGTGACTCGACCCATCAATGGTCACATATACCAATATAATCAAACGATATAGATCAATCATGGATGTGCAGCATGAAAATTACATACAATGTGATCAGTACATGTCTATTTTTAACTGGTCCTACTTTAAACTTTAGTGAGGTCAACCTCAACATTATGTACCAGAGTGTATGAACTGAAAAATTAGTGAGGTCAACCTCAACATTATGTACCAGAGTGTATGAACTGAAAAACTTTATTCTGATCAGACAAAACAACCTAACATAAAGCACCACAATTACAAACTCCCACTAAATCATGACATCCTCAAATAATACCACACCCATATGAGCAGTATGCTCATGAAAGACCTTAGGTGGTAATCCTTTAGTAAGAGGATCAGCTATCATGGAGTTTGTCCTAATGTGCTCTATGGATATCTGTCCACTCTGTACCATTTCTTTCACAACTAGGAACTTAATGTCAATATGTTTTGACTTAGTTGAGCTCATGTTATTATTAGAATACATTACTACAGATTTATTGTCATGATATAACCTTAGTGGTATTTCCACATTTTCTAGAATGCGCAGTCTCGTGACAAAATTTCACAGCCATATTCCCTGATTGGATGCCTCATAGCAAGCTACAAATTCTGCTGCCATAGTGGAGGAAGCTACGAGTGTCTGTTTAACACGTTTCCATTATATAGCTCCTCCTGCTAACATATAAATATAGCCTGATGTAGACTTTCTGCTATCTTGGCATCCAACAAAATCAGAGTCTGAATACCCAATGACCGCTAACTGTTCTGATTTTCTGTATGTGAGCATATAATCTTTTGTTTTCTGAAGATACCTCATAACCCTTTTGACTGCTATCCAATTATCAATACCAGGGTTACTTAAGTATCTGCCTAACATCCCAACAATGTACGCAATATCTGGATGCGTACATACCTGAGCATACATTAGACTTCCTACAGCCGAAGCATAAGGAATCTTCTGCATTTTCTGAATTTCAATGTTGCCTTTAGGACACTGATTGAGACTGAACTTGTCTCCTTTAGCAACAGGGGTGTCTCCTGGTCTGCAGTCTTACATGCCAAACATTTTAAGTACTTTATCGATATAACTCTTTTGTGATAATCCAAGTATACCTCGAGAACGATCTCGATGTATCTGGATTCCTTATATAAAAGAAGTGTCCCCAAGATCTTTCATCTCAAAATTCTTTGATAGAAATCTCTTGGTTTCGTACAACATGCCTATATCATTAGTGGCAAGCAATATGTCATCAACATACAGAACCAGAAAAATAAACTTACTCCCACTGAACTTGTGATATACACAGTCATCAACAATATTCATCTCAAAACCGAACGAGATAATTATTTGTTGAAACTTGTAATACCATTGACGAGGAGCTTGCTTGAGTCCATAGATGGATTTTCTTAATTTGCAAACCATATTCTTTGGGTCTCCTGACACAAAGTTTTCTGGTTGCATCATATAAATCATCTCATCAATGTCGCCATTGAGAAATGCAGTCTTAACATCCATCTGATATAACTCAAGATCATAATGAGCAACAAGTGCCATGATTGTTCTGAAGGAGTCTTTCGATGAAACCGGAGAGAAAGGCTCTGTCTAATCAATGCCTTCCTTTTAAGTAAAGCCTTTAGCTACAAGACGTGCCTTATACCTCTTCACATTACCGTTTGCATCCCGCTTGGTTTTAAAAATCCATTTACAACTAATTGGTTTTGCACCTTCTAGCAATGGGACAAGCTCCCAAACCTTATTGTCTTGCATAGACTTGTACTCTTCATTCATGGCATTAATCGACTGTTGAGAGTTAGAACTTTTCATGGCCTGAGAGAAGTTGATTAGATCATCTTCCAATATTCCATTACTTTCCTCATGTTCTTGGAGAAATACAATATAATCATCTGAAATAGCATTTCTCCTTTCTCTCGTGGATCTCCTTAATGGCACTGGTTCTTGAGGTTGTTGAGTTTGTTCTTTTGGAACAGGGAGTTGTTCAACATTATCATCTTGAGGTTTCAGATTTACTTCTTGAGTAACAACAGGTATAGGAACCTGAATATTATCAAAAGTAACTGTATGGATTGGGTCTGAAGCCAATTCCTCCTCAAAAGCAATGTCTCTAACCTTATTTCTCCCCCCAAACTTAACATCCTCAAAGAATGTTACTGTTTCCGTCTCAAAAATATTCCTGAGTGTGGGATCACAAAACTTATAGCTCCTAGAGCGTTCAGAATACCCAATAAAGTAGCTGCTAACTGTTTTGGAGTCCAATTTTTTTTCATTTGGCCTATAGGGCCTTGTCCTAGCTGGACATCCCCAAATATGTAAATGCTTTAAACTGGGCTTTCGACCAGTCCAAAGCTCATAAGGTGTTTTAGCAACTGCTTTACTTGGTACTCTATTCAGAATGTAAGTTGCTGTCTTTAGTGCTTCTCCTCAGAGTGACTCTGGTAAAAAAGAATGAGCAATCATATTTCTTACCATATCCTTAAGAGTCCTGTTTTGTCTTTTAACTACACCATTCATGCTAGGTGCACCCGGCATGGTGTACTGTAGGACGATACCACATTCCTCTAGGTATCTAGTAAATGGTCTTGAACGTTATTCACCTGAACCATCATATCTGTCATAGTACTCACCACCATGATCAGATCTAACGGTTTTAATTCTTTTGTTGAGTTGATTCTCAACTTCAGCTTTGTAGGTTTTGAACATGTCCAGAGACTCAGATTTCTCATGAATGAGGTATAAGTACCCATAACGTGAGTAATCGTCTATGAATAATATAAAATATTGTTGACCATTCCAACACGTCGTAGGGAATGACCCACAAATATCTGTATGTATCAATTCTAAGACGTCTGAAGATCTTTTGGCACCTAATCTCTTAATTTTGGTCTGTTTTCCCTTGATACTGTGACGCCCCTAGGTTCACACAAGGCTGCAGTCTAAGGTGAAACCAAGAATGTCAAACCTGCCATGCACCACACCGTGCAACAACATGTTTCACCATCACAATTAACATCTATCTAGTAGAGTCAACAACAGGTGTAGGTACAAAAGCAAGTAAAAGATAATACAAGGAGACTGATGAAATGATAATAATCAACTTAATGTCTCATCATCCAACAAACAGAAGCACATAGTCAAGATCTGAGTAGGTAAACTGAAATACTCAACAAGTCTCAAATACAAATATCTGACAAGTAGGAAACAAGGCACACAGCCTTTA